CTTTTGGTTTATGTCTATCCCAAATTATTGCAGTCATGGCACTTCTGCTGCGACAGAAATCACCAAAACAGGGTTTCTCTGTAGTATATTATTTTGTTATGGACTACTATGTTTTGCACCATGGTGACTGTGTAACACAAAAGTCCTTTCTAAACACACAAATGTTGCAAAAAAAAAGTGTCATCACAAGACCTTGCAACCCTGCCAGGGCAGGTCAGTGAAAATGTACCATTTGTACCTAAACAGAAGGAAAGACTTACAAGGACGTACATCACTAAATGTTGATTCAGTATGAATAGTATGTTTTACCTTTTAAAATGTTACTACTTTCCCATTCCACTCCATTGTAACTTGTCAACTGTAATTTTTTTTTTAAGTCAACAAAGACTGTAAAGAAAACTGTTGAAATACCTGATTTTCTGTAAAAAGTAATAACAATAATTTTTGTTACTTTAAAGTATGCTTGGTATTAAAGTACCTAATAAAGTTCAACAATGAATTTTGTAGCATACTAAAATAAAGTGTGATAGTGCTTTTCTTCAGCTAATCTCTGGTAACAGCTACTCCTGTTGGAAACACTGTCCACCTCGTAAACACAAGCCCGGCCACCTCCTACATGCCTGTGCCTACACAGATTCCTGAGGTATGCAAAGTCTGAGCAAAATCCAGTCCCTTTGTGAGGGCAGGGATTTGTGTGCATGCATCAAATTTACAGGCTAAGAAGGCTAAAAATTACCTTGGTGGTAAGTCGTCTGCATCCTTTGGTACCTGACTGTACACATCTGGGCAATATAAAGCTCCTGGTTACTTTGGCATAAAGCTTTACAATGAGAAGAAGAAGAATGTAAGTTATTTAGAACTTAGTTATAGTTAAACAGAGACCTGCCAGGTGTGTAGGTTGTCACAGTCTTGTTCATTCTAACAGACAATGCATTTCAGATATTCCAAAATAGCCTGAAAAACTCCAGAAAGTGATTTGGAGTACACAGTACAGCTCAGAAGCTGATTCCCACTAATTTCACTCCATGAAATTCCACTGAAGGCAAAATTCCTGGAGTCATCAAGAGCTGTCACAGATGTACCTCATCCCAAAACCTGCACCAGCAAGAGGTACTTTAGTGTCAAGTGGGTGCTGGATCTGTCTCCATGGTGCTGATGCAGTGCTATCTGTGTTTGGGGTTGATCTAGAAATGATTGTGAGTGGGGCTGAATTATTCCCAATCTCTGAGGATTTAAAAAGAAATAAGAATTAGACAGGAAATAAATAAATAAATAAATAAATAAATAAATAAATAAATAAATTAGTAAATAAATAAATAAAGCTAGTTTACACATTGAAAACCAGCCACACACTGAGTCTCAGAAAGGAACATAGCTCTTTTTTCATGCACTGAAGCTTTACCCATTTCTCCTTCCTAGGGAGTTCTGCACAGCAGCTGGCAATACCTGCATGCAGTAGCCATCGAACCAAACTTGCAGCCATTCCACACTGACCCACCATCCTCATTGGACTCTATTAGAATTTTAATATCAGACTTTCAAAGAAGAAACAAAATTTTTCAAAGTAGAATTTTTAGTCTAAAAAATCATGCTCTCCCTTTACATTGAGTAATGAGACACCACAAAGCTTCTTTGCTTTTGGAGTGGTTCCTATAGTGGCCACAAACCACTTACTGAAACCAGGGGTGCAGGACCTGCCTCCAAGTCTGAACATCAGCTCAGTCACCTGGGAAGGCAGTCTGGAAGAAAATAGACTAAAAATCTGGGAGTGAGGCCTGATATTGCCTCTACAAACTGGTTTTAAATTAGCGTAACAGTATGGGATACTACTCCTCATTCTGTCACGTGCAAGTTAGTTGTACATTAGCCTAACATAGCTGTAAGAATAATTAATAATGAATACAATTGATGTATTAATAGTTAACAAATATGTATTATAATTATGTATTAATAATTATAGTCTATTTAATTACTATTATTAGGACAAAACAAAATCAAGATTGTCAAAATCCTATATACTAGACTGAAGTCTCTTCGATATGGTTACCAATTTAAATATATATATATATATTTAAATATATATATATAATATATATATAATTTTTATATATATATATATATATTTATATCCCCATTTTTACAGCAGAAAATGATCTAGAATATCAGTTACATTTTTAGTTTTACAGAATCAGGATTTTCCCATAGGGTGTTGGCAGAGAAAAGCAGGAGCTTTGCTCTGGCTTCAATGTGTGCAGAAAGAAAGGCTGCCCCAGGGAGGGCCAGGCACCTCCTTACATCGACAACTCTCAAACGCAGCCTTCTCACAAGACACAAGGCAAAGCACCAGGATGCCAGCACAAATGTCGGGCTTCAGGGAATGTAATCAGCACCCTGATTCTCTTCTATCTGACATTATGCCAACACAACGCAAAATTAGCACTGAGCTAGGTGGACGACATTTAGGTGTGAAAGGAAAGCCAGCTCTCCTCTCCATTTGCCTCATTTTTTCCACTAATAAAATGAACTTAGCTGGAATGTCACTGGAGTATTCCGAGGCTCAATTAAGTGTCTCACTGTATTTATCGTGTCTCTCAAATGGCAGTAGAAAAGATAGTGAAACAGTAAGATTCTCAGGCAATGAGCTGACGTGGTTGGGGGCATCAAATTGATGGGAGTTTTCTGGAAGAGCTTTTAGGCTATCAGCTGCTGTACACATCATCAAGAAAGGAGCTGGTTTATTCTGCAGAGGTGAACTCCCTGGATACTTCAGAAGGATACGGGATAAAATCACTCAGCAATTCTGAAAGAGGTTCCTGGTTAATATGTGCTACCACTTTATTATTTTGTCCGTTGTAATATAACACGAAATTCCTCATTTACATTCCTTAATTAATTTTGCATTCAGTAATCTAAAAATTCTTCAGCCACGAGGTACCTTGGGGGTGCTGAAAGCAATGGAGAGGCTTTCCTGGAGCAGCAGCTGGGAGCAGGGGATATTGAGCATATCTGTGCTGCCATCTAACGGCCAGCATCCTCGGGGTGGCTGCCCGGCGCTTGCTGCCAAGTGCAGCTTTGCATTTGCATTTATGGAGATGAAGGGAGGAAAAACAGTGCACAGGTAACCTCCTGCGCCTCTCAGAAACGGGGAAAAAATCAAGAGGCTGAACCGCTGGTGCGTTAGCTTACACTGGAGAGCTATCGAGTTTGACAACTTTTCATTTGAACTTCTAAAGACAAAAGAGAAGAAGCCGCATCTGGGTAAATGTGGATGAGAAGTTTGCCTAGCATCTGAAAAGCATTTTCCAATGCAGTGCTTCCCAGGGACAGGCTGCTGCATTCCCCAGCTGGGACAGACACTAATTCCCTTCTTACCTTCTCAGGGACCCAGTGGGTGATGGTGACATTGTCTTCTCTCTTGGCATATGACTTCAGCTCGGGCTTTGAGGTGCACTCAGTGATGGTATACACAGCCTCTCCCTGTGTTCACTCCAATCTCTTCTCTTTATTAGAACGTTTTTAGTGGATTTCTATTCTTTCTAGTTTGCAAATCCCTAAAAATTTTCCAGATCTTTCTAAATTTCATAAACACTTAACCTTGTAGGATACAAGGACTTGTATTCAACAAGTGATCTTTTGAAGATCCCCTGGAAGTCTTCCAGGCATCTCAGACTGAAAATCTCTGTTCCAGAAATACTCCTCTGGGGATTCAGTTCACTCCTAAACCCCCTTTCCCAAGAGTTGTTAATTGTCACTGTTTTCTTCTGTATCCCTCCCTCTCTATCATTCTTTCCCTTGTAGTGTTTTGTTCAACCCATTAAATCCCATACCCAGAAAATATAATACTTTAAGCTTGGTCAGAGGAAAAAGATAGTCTACTGGATCACACAGCTTAACATGAAGTAACCAGTTGTGCAATAGGAGACTCATGAGCATCTTCAGAGGTGACAGAACATGAAAGTGATCGACCCTAAAGGAACAGGACATTAGATTTATGCCATCTTGGATGGCCTTTTCACCAAGCACATTAAAATCTGATGAGATTATGGATTGCCAGGCTGGAGAATAAAGTCCCTGCTCCAAGAGGAGCAAAGCAGGAACTCAGGAGGCCATTCATACATTAACCATGAGTAAAAGTGTGCTGTGTGGGATGCAGGGAATGCAGGTAAAAATCTCAGATACTTAGATCCATGTCTAAGAGGGCAGGAGTTACAGCATCACAGAGCATTCATGCATCTTGTCTGATCCTCTTCTCCAAGCAGGGTCACCTCCGGGGTCAGGCCTCTGTCCAGTCTGGTCTCATAAATGCCAGTGGTAAAGAGTACACAGTGCTTCTGAGCTCCAATGCTTAATTAGATCCATAAATGAGTCAATAATGAAGTAAATATCGACCAGGACAAGCTGATATTTGTGTGGCTCTACTCTCAAGGGAAACCATTCCCATGTCCTTACAGTACATTTTTAACTTGTAGACATGTGCATAGAGGTTAAAAATTAATATATTCATAGTGCTAACTCGTCACTGACATTGAGTTATATTTTTGCTGTACTTGAAGGGGATGTATTTCATTTAAGCTCACCCAACCTACCAAAGGGTCTTGTTTTGTTGCTTTTGTTGGTTTTGTGTGGGTTGGTGGGAGGGGTTGCTTTTTGTTTATTTTATTTTTAAAGTGACTTCCAAGCACTCACAATCATGGTGGAAAGCAGGAAAATGCTTAATATGTCTACTAAAAGTTTCTAAGCCATAAGACAAATGAACTCAAAGCTCAACTGTACTTAAATCTCATTATTTTTGAGCCAGTCTCATGTTATTTTACACCTTGATTCACTAGATTTTAAAGCCCAGGACTGCAGTAACAAGCTAAAAAGAGCGCTCTTCCTGGGGTGTGGGAAAGAACACGCCAGCCAGATGTCGTCCCAGGCCAGAAAATGAAGTAGAGTGCAGAAGCGAAAACAAGCTGTCGGGCTGAGCTGCCTGATGCAGTGCCTGCTGGGCACTGAGCCAGGAAACAAACGCCTGAAGCAGAAGTTTCTCCAGTCCTTACTCCTGTTCTTTCCCTTTTCAGCATGCTTCTGCGAGGATTTTACAGAGGAGACTTCTGACCTGCAACCCGGCACTTAACTTGTCTTTCCCGTGTCTTCTCCTCTCCCCCAGATGACAGATGGCTGGTGTCAGCAAGAGACTTTTAAGCAAAGGAATTTATAGAATACAACAGGAAGCAGAGGGAAACTTTAGCAACTGAATGATCATTGCAAAAGGTTAAAGGAAGAGAAGCATTTCTGAAGACACGGTAGACCAGAAATGGTTTGTGTGCCCCTGTAGAGAAAGCCCCAGACCAACACTAATTGTTTGCAGGTTGTGGCAGCTAGATGAGAAGCCCAGGGATACCTCCAAACTCCCCAGGGGAGCCAATGTCAAGTGAAGGCTCAAAATCACTGATCTGCTTTAGTTTGTCAAGATCTGGGGGTCATCACAGAATGAATCGACAGAGAATCAAAAGGGATTAAGCACCAAGACCCAGGACTTCACTGCCTGAGGTAAGGAGAGCTGTGGCAGATGTGTTGCTAGAAGAATGTGTTTACTTGGTATGCTACAGCTATTAGAAAGCAATATAATTCTTTTCTTGGGACTGGTCAGTACTTTCACCTAGAAGATAAGCAGCAGTTACTCAAGCCAGGTGTAACTTCTCTCTCTGTGGATCCCCACCCATGTGGTCTCACTGATCCTGGCTCTTGTGGTATGCAGGGATTAGTCCACCCCGGGGGCAGGCCAGCTCCATCCAGAACTACCAGTTGTCCCAGGATCCCAGTTATGTCCCCTTTACCAGACAGAAGTAGAGGAGTTTTTCCACTGTGCTGTCAGATCTCCAGCAGCTTCACTAAGCACTAAGCCCCAGCCATAATTTTGCCCGGGCTGTCTGACATGCTAAAATCCCAGACAAATCACCGAGGACACAGTGTCACAGTTGGCTTTTGTTGATCTAGGCATGTGCTATTGCTGCTGCCCTGCTCCCATCAGCTCCCCTATGTCAGCACTAGAGCTTATGTATCTGCACAGTCAGCTGCACCAGCCAGCTGATTCAACCTTCTCTACGGCCACACGATTACCAGTACCAAAAAGTGCTGGGGGGTGCCACTATGGGGCCCGAAAGGGCAGCCCGCAGTAGCTTGGCATATTTAGTTCAGGAAACCCACACCACAACTGTGCGTGCAAAGTAAATCTGGTGCACCTCAGCCCCACAATGACACTTTGTGTGCATAGTCTGAAGAACCCACCCAGTGCTTGCACAGTAGATCCACAGCACCCCAGGTGTATCAGATGTGAAGGGCACGTGCTCTGAAGTCCACCTCTGTGTGACCACTAATTCTACTTCATATGCACAGGATGCAATGGACAACTCTGGCCGCCTGGACAGCACACACCAAATGTGCCCAATGCTCCCTACATAGAAGGATTATCTGAGGGAAGGTCAGATCTCTCTAGGGCAACAACAACTGCACCCATCCTTCTGTCTGCAACATCCCAAATTTCCTACCTTTGCCTCCCTGTATACTCAGGATGGTCCTGAAAGCAGAGGGGCTATTGCATCAGGTGAGTCTCGTGCAGTTGAGTCAGCTGCAAATACTACCCATGGAAGGGAAGAGAGATAACTTTAACTATGGAGTTTCTTAATCTGACAACAAAGCCTTCCATACATTTGGAAGTTGAAGCAATTCAGATAGACATATGCCAAAAATGTTTAAGTAGGAGGGTCATACATTGTTTTTACCTGGGGGGCTGCCTCCATTTCAGAATTCAAATAAAGATCTGAGTATCTTTTTCAGTGAATAAATGTTTGGCCTTGATCAAGGCATTTCTGTGTAAAATAGTTTGTGTGCAGAGACTGTGTATCACCACATGTAAAATCCAGGCAGCCCAGACAGACAGGCTTCAGCAAACCTTTCTGCTGTGTTCAAGGAGCGCTTGCCCCTAGCTGTTCTCTCCACCTCACTGCCAGGGGTTGCCAAGCCTGTCACGGGGCTTGCAGAAAGGAGTTTGCCACTAACATATAAAATGTCTTGAATTGTCATAAACTGTCAATTATAACGAGTGTACCCAGGACCTGGCACAGAGGATTCAGCCTAATGATTCCTGTGAGCATGTAAGCTTCAGCAGAGGAGCTAGGATGGAAGAGAGGAGCCACAGCTGGAGAGAAGTAACTTAAACCAAAGGCAGGGGACTAATCAGAGTGCATTTGCGAGTGTCCTCAGATGGTTCACAAAGTGGTCTGGCTTTTAGCTGTCATAAAACGTGTTGTGTGAGTGTAGGATAATTACCATTAAATGGCTGAAAAAAAAATCCAAAGTTTAATTAGTTTTGTATGAAACTAGACCCAGTTTTAGCTGAATCTTCCTGAGTGCAAATGAGTTTCAGATTCAAGGTTGATATTGTTCATCATGGAAAGTTATGTATAGATATTAGCAACATTACTTAAATGCTACAGAATTAAGAGAAATAAACTTCAGCTCACTGTGAAATATGTGCACTGCACTGAACGTGGTCTTACCCCAACGTATTTTTTATTCCCTCGGTTTTCATTTTATAGACGTTTTATTTCAGGAACAGGAACATTCATGAGAAACATGGGAATGGGTCCCAGAAAGAGGATATTTTCCCTTGTTTTCCTGTGTAATATAAGAGGAGGAGAAATGAAAACAATGAGCAGCCAAGCTGCACCCTTTTGCTCTGCACAACTTCCTGAAATTTCTCCTGAGCAAGATAAACTGTGCTACAGCAAAAAAACAGCTCACGGTTAAATGGCATCTGTTAGTTGTGCTGCAGAACTCCAAAACAGTCGCATTTTCACCCCCATCTGCTTCTTTAGGATAAATTGCTTTGTTACCCAGGTGTATAATTAGATATAAAGGGGCAATTTAAGACGAACGTCCTCCTAGCTTTTACTAGCCTCACCAGAGAAACAATAGAAGTCCTGTTTTAACCTAAGGAAGGACGAAAAGCACTAAAAGCTGCACAGGAAACAACCCAGGATTGCATGGGCTTGGGGCTGAATGTTTTGAAGGCTGCAAGCAGATGTCTCCGCGGGAAGCAGCAGAACCAGCTGCTCTTCGCTGCCGCCCTTGAGCAGAAGCCGACCTTCACCCGTGGCAGCGCGTGTGTGTCAGGGCCCTGCCGGCCCCGCCAGCCAGACCGACCAGGTCAGATTAACCAGTTTGAACCGCGCGTTTGCAATAAGCCACGGGAACTTTCCTGAAGGGGATTAGCGAGTTCCTGCAGAGCCTGCCCTGATCTGACAGCGGCTCTCAGGGCAGCCCTGGCATCGGAGCAGCGACAAGCAGCTGAGAAGGGGGAACGTCTTCATCGGACTCTGACCGAGAATGCCGCAGACAGAGCGGCACTCGGCATGGGGCATTGCCAGCAGGTTTCCATTCCCAGCCCAGCTGCAGCTGCCCGTCACTGCCTCCGGCCAGTGCCCAGAGGAATAAAATCGGGGCTCTGCGTCACCGGGTCGGAGCACGCAGAAGGCTCTGGCAAGGCAGAGAGGACGACCCACTGACAGGGGCCCCGAGGGAATTGCCAAACCCCAAAGGCGATGACTGTCTGCAGTCTAAGAAGCTCTTCCCTTCCCCAAGTCTGGATCTGTTTTCACTTTAAGCCAGTTTTACATTCTGGACTGAACTGGGGTTTAGATGTATTTTATGTGGCCTACGCCACCCACTGTGTCTCATCAGGGATGACAGTTCCTGCCACAAGTAGTTTACAGCTCAAGAGTGACTGCAGATTCCCAGAGACCAGAGCAAAGCCTGCTCGCTTCTTTCTTTCCACGATTTTTCCCATGACTGGCCAGATCACTCGGCAGCTCTTAGGCCCCTTCCCTGCCTCGTGGCAACATCAGCTCCTCCATACAGGCTGAACAGGCTTTCCGCACTTTCTTTGGAGTCTGGAACGTCTTTATGAATCTCAGAGCTATGCAAAAGGTACAGGGAGCTTGTGCAACCCTGCTGGCTGCTGCCACCACCCAGGACAAGGGGCGATGGTCTGCGAAAATGACAAAGCAGGAGGTGGTGGCAACAGTGTCCAGAAGGAACCTCAGCAGAGGGGGGAGTTGTAGCAGCCACCACGTCTTGCCACATCTCTGCTCAGGGCACCTCGTTTTCTCAGACTTGCTGCTTGCATCCTGCTGCCACCGGTCTGTACAATTCCACAAATTAAAGGGATTTTGCTTGTTTGTTTGTTTTTCCCAGGTGAATCTAAGGGAGTTAGGAACACAATTCCCAAGACCTTCGCTTCCCCAGCCCGTCATCTACATGCAGATTACTGCTCTGTGTGCATACAGAGCATGCAGAGCTAGTACAGCACACGCCTTATTACCTTCTTGTGAAGTTCAGCAGTTTGCAAAGGCATCAAACAAAAGCCGGATACAGCCTACGTCTCACCAGGAACTGACGTGCTACAAACCACGAGGTAGAAATCAAACATGACAGCTTCGCCTCCTAGATAAAAACAGAGTGGTCTCTTTATATCTCATCCACTGATTAGAGATACGTGGCTTGGGACAGCAGAGCTGTAGAGGGACTAGTATAATCTGAAATCCTATACATTTTTAACCTGCTCAGCCCTGCCCCCTTATAAAACAGGCATTTCAGCTGCTGTTTCTGTTAATTGGATGTGCTCTTAAATGTAAATGAGAAAAACCACATTAAAGCCTCTCAAGATTCCAGATAAGATTTACAGCTGGTATATATAAGTGAAATGTCACTCCGGCCAAAGGAATTGCTCTGTTCCTCCTTCTTCTGCCACTGCAATCTCTGAACTTGACCCTACATTTCCATACTCCCACAGCGAGTTTAGCGTGGAGTATAACACATTGCTGCAATCCCACCTCAGCAGCGGGGTGCTCGCCTCCCTGGAGACTGGCACAGGGGTAGGCTCCCGTCTCAGCCTGCCCTTGCGCTGGCTCTGGCTCAGATTTCCTGCTGCTAAAACCCTTGCCCTTTCCTTGGGATACTTGCATGTTTAGTGGGCTGGAGGGAAAAAGAGACAGGGAGTGTCTCGCCTGGGTGGGAAGGGAGGCCTGAGTTCCTGTCATTTCCCCTGTGAATATTTCAAGATTTTTTTTTAGTAGAAATCTTTACAGGATGGGTTGGGCCATTTTATCGGAATTGCACCAGATTTCGGCAGGACTGTTTTCAGCGAGGTCCTTTCCCAACTGGGGCCCCAGGCCACAGCCTGAAGACATTGCCTCCCTGGAGCCGAGCACAGAAGATTCAGTCATATTGCTGGGAGGAGGAGGGACTGTTCGCTCTTCCTGGAGAAGAAGGAGAGGGTTTTGCTTTCATTTAAGAAATAAAACACAGACCTTGACTGGTGACAGGCCATATTGATGGTGCAAATCTCCAGGTCACCTGCATGACAAGGGCAAACTAGGAAAGGCTACAAGCTTGAGAGGGGATATAATTTGCTTCTGTCTCAGCTGTCCCTCAAAAAAAAGAGGAGTGACTCTGCTCACAGTAACAAATGACAACCTCTTCCCACAGCCACCAGCAGGCACATTTGACTTGATGTCCTTTTCCTAAGTAGGTGATGCCTTTTTCCCAACTAAATATTTCTTCTGTCAGGGTTTTTTTTGTTCCCCCAGCAGATCCCTGAGGGCTCACTGACCTTTTCCCCACACCTCCCATGTCACACACTTCATCACGGCACGGGCAAGCCTGGATTGCTCACGCTGGTACTCACCAGTATCCAGCTCATTCCTTTATAAGCACTGAGAGCATGAAGGCACTTGAAATTTCTAAACAGCCTTTGCTTTCCCAATCTCTCCCTTTTCAGCCTCACACTCCAAACCGAACAACAACCAGCTAAGCGAAGAGGAAATAACAGCTCCTTCCTACAACCCCACCCTCCCGCGCAGGGAACTTGCCTTCTCCAGGGCTGGCTTTGGGCATGGGCCAGCGCTGGGGCTGCCGGGCATTCCCCGTCTGAGCTAATGTTACTCACCTGTTGCCGTCAAAGTGAAGGAAAAGATTGGGAGGCAGATTATCTCAGCAGAATCCCAGGAAACTGCAGCAGGAGAGCAGCTCTGTGGCAGCTGAGATGGCTCATGCTTTTCTCTTCAAGCTGATTTATATAAATCCTCTGCATTTCACATACCTGTTCAGATTTCCTGGAGATTTTATGTGACTCATGACAGCACAGAGTAGACATAATGTCTCAATTTGGGATATTTTTAGATACAGCCTCTTGGGGAAGAGCATTTAAGGATGACATTATTGTTTGCTTGTTTTTTTCACTTGAGTGCCCCAAACATCCTCTAATAATCTGAATTCATCCCATCTGATTGATCGCACCACCTACAGTTTTGGGAAACAAAACTAAAGATGGCATTAAGAAAAGTTAATTCACTTTTTTTTTTTTTTTTTTTTTGAATTCACTTACATATACACATTGTGTTCATGAACAAAGATTTATTGATATGCAAGCATGAATGGCATGGACAAGAAGTTTTCAACTGTGTCAGGTTTCATGTGAGCTCAGGCACCCAGGCAGATGTGCAAAAGTAGAGGGTCTATGCCCTCGGAGACAGAACATGTTAGGGGAAGGGAAGGTGCTATGTCAAAGACAGACTAACAGAGAGCACTTGTTTGAAGGAAAATACAATAAAGCAAAGAAATCAGAAGGGCTCCAAGTATTTTCAAACAGAAAAAAATAAAATAAAATAAAATTACCAAGAGGAGAGCTCAAATGGCAAAGGATTAGAGGATTAGCCAGCATGAGGGAGGGAGGGCAGAGGGAGGAATGACATACATTGGCAGGACTATGGAGCAGAAGAGGTTTTTAACCTCTACACTAATTTTACTGTGCATCAAGGCCCCTACTTTCTGTTCCTATCTAAAATAGCTAAAACTGAATCCTGGGTGAGCTGAGTGAAGTAAGGCCACATCTTTTGCCAGGTCTTCCCATGGCCTGGTTGTTGGAATCCCATCGCTGCAGTCTACCTTCCTGCTGGATGCTTCTTATCTTGGTGCTTACAAAGCCCATGTGGGAGAGCAGTACTGGGCACTTCGACATTTTCTGGGCTCTCCCTTACCCAGAAGTTTCCTGTCTGTGAGGATGCCAGAACTCCTTCTCCTGTTCTGCCCATAACTTGACACCTGAAAGGTCTGCCTTTCTGCTTGGGCAGCTGCAAAGAATTAGCCCAACTGAGGTTCAGTCACATTGTGAAACAGTGCAGAGACAATTTTTTTCCCCTTTTTTTATTATTCAGTCCACTCAAGCTTCAGCAAACTCTTGAATTAAAGCCCTAAGAATAAGTGTTGAAATTGACTTTAGGGTCAGTGCTGCCTGTGGCAATCTTGTTTTTATTGGTGTAGATTTTTCCTGGTTAATAGTGTCCTGAGAGGTCATAATTTTATTTTTTCCTGCCATCCAGAGGTCCTTGGAATATCTTTAGTTTTTCACATTAATTTAAATAATTTCCCAAGACTTAAAAGTGTCTTTTTTTTTCCCTTACAGAAGACTATAGGTATTCTTTCAGAGGAATAACCTGTTTATTTCAGATGGTATTGCTCCTTCACAAGTACACCAGTTGTCCCAATATCAATCTAAACAGCATTTTGTGTGTAAAATTTTCCTTTCTACTACTTTTTCTGGCTGTAATGGTACTCACAGGTTTTAAGTATTTGCTTAGACTTAAAACATTTTAGAAAATAAGCTTTCTGTTCATCCTCTGCTCTTTGGTCTTTTTTCTTTCACATTACTTCCAAGAGTTGTAACAATTCAACACTGGCCTTGAAAACTTCTGAAGTGTTCATAAGTTCCAGAAAAAAAGGCAAAATTATCAAATATTCCCTGTACAAATGAGAGGTTTCTCAAGTAATTTCTATAGCATTATCCTTACAATCATATCTGGAAAGGACCTCAAAAAGTATCCAGCCCAATATTTTCCAAAGAGAGGATCAGCTATGCACTGTAGATATGATAACCTCTTAGCCAGTTTCAGCAAGGACAATTACTTTTGGATGACCAAGTCAGAAAGTATTTCTCGCTGGACAAAGTGGCAGATTATTTATTTATTGCCCTGTCACTGATTATTTTTAGTAGTTCTCATGTTTCATTTGCAGGAGTGGGCTGGAATTGGTCTGAGGTGGACTGAATTATTCCTGCATACAAAGGGGTTTGGTTTCATGCCTGGCAGGAAGCAATATAAGCTGGAAAGAAAACCTCCCAGTGGAGGCAAAGGCAACCTTGCTACTTCTTCCACTGTCTTCTTCAATAGTGAACAGCGCGGACACTTCCACCTGCCTGTCAGCCTGCTAGGGCTGGTGCATAAGTCCACCCCATAGTCTGTTCCCTTCCCTATCCAGTCTGCCATGCTGTCAACCCCTTTCCTGGGGCAAGGGCTAGCACCAATACAAACCTGGCTCCAAGGATCATAATCATGATTAATAACCACAAAATAAAAGCAAGAGACAATGAACAAGATGGGGAGAAGTGCAAGTCATCCTAATATCGTAGGGAAAGGCTTTGTAGTGATCCCAGACCTGCTTGCCATCCTTCTCCTGACTGCATCCACCCTGATACAGATCACCTACAAACAGAAAACACAAAGCCCTTTTTAGTCGTCCATCGCTTTACAGGAAATAAATAATGGCAGAGTCACTCAGTAACACATCACAGAAGTTGTGCTAATTGCTTTCACTGAACCTCCAGGTTTCCTTATCAAACCTGCCAGGCTGAAACACCCGCAAGTCTATAAACCAGTAAATAATTAGCTTCAAAATCCTCCCTCTTGCATCCCCTGACGCCCCTTTTGCCCACAGCGGGGAAACAGCCAGAAACACGCAGCTGAGCAGCAACTCTCAGGCTTTCTGCCGAGAACCTATATTCTCTCTGTGCGGCCTTGACGTTTGCTTTAAATCAATTTAACACGTAAAAGAACAGAAATGAAGATATATAAAACCAGCTCGACAGAGTCGGCGGGGACATCCAAGCCAGGCGGGCTGTGCTCCCCGCCCCGGCAGGAGTGGGGCCTGCTGAGGCGGGCCATGGCAGGCCGCCAGGGCAGGAGGCCCACATCGCACTCCCTCCTGACCTTCAAAGCGTCCCCGGGAGCCTCAGCTGCTCACTGGGGCTTTCCGCCGGAGGGCCCCACGTTTTAAATACAGTGTTTTTTGTTGGTTTATTCATGTATTTATTTATTTGGTAACGCTTTTGCATTTTTATTTCTCCTTTGAAGGAAGGCACTGAGGGCTGGCACTCGGTGAGAGCTCCCGGCTGGAGGAACCGCCGCCCTCTGAAATGCCTCAGACAGGTCCTGCGAGAAACCACGGCGAGATGCTCTCCTTCCCGAGAAACATCTGCCTTCACTCGCTCCCCTCTGTGGTTTAATTAAAGCATTTTGCACACAGCTTGCAGTTCTGCCGCTTTCTGCAGCAGAAACTCTGTCAGCTCCGAGATCTTGCCTTAGGAGTGCGATGAGTTCAGGTGTTTGCCTGGGCATCAGGGCTCACCCCTCTTTTTAATTTTACCAGCTTAAACATGCTTTAACCCGCAAAATCTCCTTAATGAAGCTGTGCATTCTTTGCAAACCCAGCTCTTTCAAGACCACGCGAGCACCTTATCTTTTCAATTATCTTGTTTTTTGACAGAGCCCCAGTACCTGCCTGTGAGAGGGTGTTTACACAAGAAACACCAGTCCTCAACAGGCTTCTCAGTCCTGCCTCAAA